AATTTAGACTTTGAATTATAATCTATTGCTACATAATAGATTTTTATAAAATTGTCAGGCTAACAACTCGGAGTTCTTTCTTAACATTAAAACAAAGTTAATATAATGAAGGGATTTGTCTAAATACCGATTGGAAGGGATTGCTCAAGAGTTGTTTTACATCTTGGCCAATCAATATAGATACGTGACCATTTATAATATTTTATACTTTTCGGCAGATTTCTATTATTACGCTTTATAATATCGTATCCTTCTTTATTTTAAAATTAGATTAATCATTTAGTAGAATATTATTATATTTTAAGTTGAAAGGAATGTTAAGAAATACATTGAACCCCATATGTTTAAATTTTTTAATATTTAATTTAAGTTTTTATATATTAATTCATAATTATAAAGGTGTAATTTTAACATATTATATAAACCTTCACCCGTTGTTATTTTATGTCAGATTAGGTTCAAAACAATTCTTTTATAATTAATTGTCATACATGTTAAATTTGACTTTTGAAAAAGTAATTTTTTTATTCTTTAAAAGAGAAGTTTACAAAATTGATTGACATAATATAAATTTAGAATTTAGAAAGATCTAGAAACTCTAATAGTCATGTACAAAGTCTACGGTATGGGTAAAGTCCCGAATAACCCAGTCATAATTATTCGGTTTCTATTGGCTATTTTGGGAATTTTTCTTTTATTGTATATAATTTAAAACAAAAGCATTTTACGGAAATGTTACAACTTTATTTCTTCATAACTTTTATATAAAAGTATTAGATCTTTAATTACAAAGCAATATAACCAAGTATATCCAAACAATTTTATTGCGGCTTACAACTATAATTTTTTTGCGATAAAATGAAATTTTGGGAATATATCTTTTGGCAAAATTTTAAACATATTTATCAGTAAATATTCAAATAAAGTAACCCATGACCGGATTTATAAATAGCTATCGGGCCTAATTCTATTTAAAATAATCGGGATCGGTCCGGGCCGGGCCTTTTTAAAAAAATTTCGGGCCGGGTCGGTTCGGACCTTGGTAAATTTATTAAATATATCTAAATTTATCAATTTTTTATGTAAATAAAAAAAATTTTGATTTTATTTATTGAAACTAAACGCTATATAACATATGTCTTTTATTTTAAGTAATTATAAAAATTAATTTCTATATTTAAATAAATTCGGGCCTGGCCGGGCCGGCAAAACTTTTTAAAAAAATTTCGGAATTTCAGGCCGGGCCGGGCTTGAAAAATTAGGCCCGATGCAGATCACTAGTCAGAATATCTACATTATTATCAGATTTAATTATAAAATATTGGTTCTTCAGTTTTTATACTCTTCCTTTATAGATGAAATATGGCTTTTTGTCAATAGGGTGACACCGCCGTTTCGCCTCCGTCTAGACGAATCTACAACACAGATTTCCATTCATTCTCGCTTTCCAATCGCAGATTATTCCTGGACAATAGAACTGATAAAAAGAATTATTTTCTTTACCCTTTGTTCTATATACATGGTATTTATTTTAGAAAATACCTTATTTAAAAAAACTTTGTGTTATTCAATAAATTTAATGTGTAAATTAAATATCATTTCATATTTAAATTATATTCTATTTTTTTGCAAAATTATATGAAAATAAAATTAATCTTGCTTAAAGAAAATATAGATCACTTTTTGTAAACATGAATAAAAATTGATTAAAATATTTGTACATTATTTTGGAAAGATATAGTTTAAAATTTTAGCCATAAGATTAATGCATAAATCATCACAACTTTTTAATACTCTAACTAGGCCTGTCACTACTCCAGCCACCACTGTTTTATTTTGGCGATGATTATTTTGGCAATGATTATTTTGGCGATGATTATTTTGGCCATGATTAATTACTACACTACTCAATGATTTTTAACTAGGCGTCAGTGGTGAAATGAATTAAGGAAGTTATGTTGTTATATAAATCAGAGAACTGCAGGCCCGAGTGTATTTTAATTATATTTTAAATATAACCGAGCCTGGCCTAAATTTTTTTTTTAAATACCCGGACCCAGCTTAAAATCTTTTTTTTTAAAAAAATATCCGGGTTAGGTCGGGCCGTATATTTTTAAACCGAATATTTTATCGTCATTATTAGCTATAAAAATAAAAAATAAATATAATATATTTTTAAAAAATCCGAGCTAGCCTGAAAATTAAAAAAAAAATCCGGACCGAGCCAGGTCTGAAAATATAAAACTCGGGTTGGGCCGTGCCGTGCAAATGCACCTATGCTGGTCTCTGATATAAATGTTTAAAATTTAAATCTTATGTAAATATGATTTTTTAAAAAAATTTAATTATACTTATTTATCGCAATTAAAAAAGTATATCTGATTGACAAAATTATTTTTCTTTGTTTGGAAATAAATAAAAATTAGATAGAAACAAGCCCGAAAAGTTGATTTAAAAAAATGTACTGTCTGGAAATGTCCCAAGTTCAATTCTTTCCTATTTAGGAACAGGTTTTATTTTACATATTGGATAACTAATATGGTAAATCGATAACTTTAGACGATAACTATTACTGGTATTGATGTAGAAGAAACAATTAAGATAGCACGCACTAACTAATTTTATAAACTCGATTCAATCCTTCTCAACACAATAGTTGAGAGATTTTTTAGTTTGACAAAAAATGTGCTTCAGAGGTTTCAAGAAAAAATAATCTATTAATAAAAATATCTCAAATTAGCTCTAACAAAAGGTTCATCTGACTCGGGGTCTGACTAAAATTACCATGGGCTTGTATTGTCATAAGATGATCATTTTGAAAAAGTATAAATGTTTCTTTTTAAAATTTGAACCTCTTGATGGAGATATATTAGACCATTTCCAGACAGAACGTTTTTTCAAAGCGGTTTTTGGGTAATGTTTTCAAGCAATCTTTTTTTTATTTCCAAAAAAAGGAATACTAATGTGACAAATTAATTTTTCTATATAATGTTATATTTTTTTTAAAAATCGGAGCTCCATTTCAGGACACCATCGTTATTTAAATCAAGCCAATTTGTTTTGTATTTCCGATTAAAAAATTGGGAATTTGGATTATTTTTTTAAAAAATATTATATTATATAAAAAAATTAATTTGTCAAGTTATCTTTAGGAAATAAAAAAAAAAGGTTGCTGGAAACATTACTCCCCGCTTTGAAAAAACGTTCTGTCTAGAAATGGCCCTAGATAAATAGAATAAGTTATGATAATTATTATGAAAGTATGCGCATTTATAAAATAAGACGGTTGCACACCAAATTCTCTCCTACCATTAAAAGTTTTAAAACATTTTAAAATTAATCTAAATTCATTGGATGCGCCATTTTAAGATCTTATTAATACCTTTATAGGATTGCTATCGGATTTTAAATACCTTAAATATTGTGCGTAATAAGTTTTATATTATAGGAGAAATTGAGGCTAGTCGTTTAACATTTAGATAAAATTATCAGAGATTCTAAATTAATTATCATACAACAACATTTAAAAACTCAACTAGCTCAAACCATTACTTATATACTTAACAAAATAATATATATATTTTTATCTCATATTTATTCTGGATAAATATTATTTTTGAAACTATCCACCCCGAATCTGGGACACTGGGAGGGGTGGGGGAGGGGGTCAGTCGATTCAAGGGATTTATTAGTCTGTTCTCAGGAGTAAAGTATTATTATATTTTATACACTAATGTTCTGATGATTTAGTATTACAATTAAAATTTAAATAATAAAAATAACAATTTTGAATTTTAAAAATTATTAATAATTTATAAAAATGATTTATTTTTCCTAATTTAATGGATTTCTGAAAATAAATAAGCATTAAATTTTTTTTCCTATTAGCCTCTATTACGAGTCCCTGTACCTAAAAAATATTTTGTCCCCGATAGGTTTAGGCGGGAAAAAAAATTAATTTTTAGGTTTTTAAACTAGATATATCATTCTTAAAACCCTATCAGATATCAAAAGAGGTTGTTTTTTTTAAGCTTTACTTTAATTTAATCTTCATTTTATAACTAAACTAAATTTTAATCTAAAAGATATTATTCTAAATTACATTTTTAGATGGAATCGTGGACGTTTAAATTTATCGTTAATGAATAAATTTTAAGAATTATTGGTAAAGTTAAGGAATAGGTGGAGCCCCACTTCCATTGCTCAAGGTTTCTCCTCTCGGACAATGAGAAATTCCCGGTTGTGGTGTTTAAAGCGACTTATGAAAATCAGCCTTGATTTTTCATTTTCTTCCTTTCTTAAATATCTTATAATTTTGATATTTGTATTTTTAGAATTGATTATAATTTAAAATGACATCACTTTTTTTTTTAACTTTTATTTAAATTCATTCATAGTCATACTCATAATGATTAAAAATAACGATATAACTGGAATAATATTTTGTTTTATTGACATCGTTAAAAAAATGGTATTTGTAAATTTTATAAAATATCATTTGGAAGGAACTGGACATTGTCGTATTTTATATTATATTATAATATAAAACTTTAAAATAATTTATATAAAATTTTTTTTTTCAAAAAAAAACAGATTTTTTTTGCTTTTTCAAAAAAATACAACTGCTTTATGTTTGATTTTGGTAGCCCTACTTCTTTTTTTTTTTGAAATTGAAAAATAAAATAAAATGATAATTAAATTTCAAACCAAAAAAAAAAATTAAGGACAAACAAAAAATGATGATTTTAAAATGATAATACATAAATTTAATATTATAAATTATACAAATTTTCTTTGTAATAAATAAGGAAGATTTAGGTTAAGAAACACAAAGAGAATATTAATTAAAATTTTTAAAAATAATTTTAAAAATATATTTTTTTTTAAAAAAAAGAAGAAGTTAAGGAAGTAAATACATTATCTACCGCCACAAAGTGTAAGTAAAGTACCTGTTGTCTAAAATGATAATTATTGTAATATATTATATCGTTTAAAGATTATCGTAATAATTAGGTTAGGTTCAAGGGTAAAAAAAAAGGGCATTTTAATTAATTTTTTTTTTATATTTTTCTCTTTGAACAATCGTTAGGAGGAAATAAGATGTCTCCAGGTAGCTCGGACAAATGGCAGTCCATTGCCATTAGCGATCTCTTGGATTTGGTAGGGTCATATCTGCATTGATAGTAGACACCCGTGTCCTCCTGATTAAAACCTTTACAATGACATTCTGATAAAAATAGGGATGTTTTTAGTTTTAAATGATGAAGATAATTATAATAATATATATGATTTTACCTGTAAATAAATATTAGATTGACCCATTAACCAACATTATATTTATTTTTTCTAAATAGAAATTATTTCAGTATTTAATAAGTAACATTCGACTATTAAATACAATTTTTTTTAAAAATTTTAAAATATTTAGAAATAAGCAGTAATAAGTGAATTGAATTCATGTTTAAAAATAAATTCTTGGTTTAAAAATATGTATTCTAATTGTTAACTTATCAAATTTTTTTAAATATTTGATAAGCGTTTGTATCATAGGAAATTATCATTTAAAAAAATTATGGAAATATTACAATTAGATCATTTTATGTAGGGGAGATCGGGGCATATTGAGTATGGGGGAACGTTAGGTCACTTCAGTTATAATTTGAGCTATTATTTTATAAGATTGGAAATTTTAATCTAACATAGATAATTACGACATACATGATTGGCTAAAAAAGATTTGAAAAATATTAATATTTATAGAAAATGTGTTTTAGTATACCAAAAGTAATAAGAAATATTTGGTGTTAAAATCTTAATAAATAAATTAGGAAAGTTTAAAACCATATTTTTTATCTGACAAATTTTCAGAATCAATAAACAGGAATTAATATGATTCTAAATGTTATTTATAAAGTTAGTGGGCTCGGTCATGGATAGTCGTAGTATAGTTAAGACACGCTATTTTAGTTCAATTTACCATTTACTATTTATGCGGAATTACAATAAAGGAAAGGAACATCTTCTATACAGCAGATTATGGAAAAGAAACATCAGTCATAAATTTATCATTACTTACAGGTAAGATTATTTATATAATTTTTTTTTCCAGTCATGGGTTACTTTATTTGAATATTTACTGTATATATTTTTTTACACTCCAAAATCAACACTTATTTGTTATGTATTATAATATTACCTATAGAATCAGATGTGTCATAGTTTCTAGTCTTACTGAATTACCGATTTTAAATTATTTATTTAGATCTCTATTTTATCGAGTGGTTCAACTTGTCTCAACGTACCGCATGATATATTTGGGACAAAAAAAATTTTCTTTTTAAAATCAATTTTTTTAAAATATATATTAATTATTTCAAATATCCTATATACTTTTAGGACACATATGTTTTAAACTAAACATAGTTACTGGCTTATATAATTTACGATTTCGTTTTATTAATTTTTTTAGTTAATATAAAGCGCGATTTTAGCAAAGCCCGAATATTGTTATAGAACCTGCGGTAGGTAAATAGTCTCGTATTGAAAAATTTTAGGCTTCATTATAAGATACATTATTTTAAGCTGACCCTATACAAGATATTTATTTTAGTTATCGAGACTTAGCCTGTATTTAGATTCGTTTTATTTTAACCAATTTATGGGACTATTTTCCGACGAGCGTTCCGTAACAATAACTCTTCATTTTACTCAAGGACATCACTAAATTGAAGCTTCTTCATAATGGACCTATATTTAATAAAATGATTTATATATAGAGCCATTTGAATTTTTCCTATTTTCTTCCAGATAATGTTGTTAAAACGGCTAAACCAACATAACGCAAACTCCAGAGATTACAAAAATTGTGCCCATAGATGGCACAAAGGTTTGGACAATTATTAATGAAATCTAGAGGCTTACGTAAATAAGCTAAAATATTGGGTTAGCCGTTTTTATAAATCGAGTCGTTTAACAATACTTTCAAGTAAAAATACGATTTAAAGTTTTCCGAATGTGGCCACATTTGCCTTTATTAATTTATATTTTTTTTCCAATGAGATTTTTAAAATTTATGATTAAATTTTATAGGTATTTTTAGTTAAATTGTTTATAGATTCCCTTCCCCTTATTATTTGTAATTCGAACTAACCTTTATAGCTTGCAAAAGAACAAAAAAATTGTAACATATTCATAAAGATTGATTTCGTTCATCCCTTCCCCCGTGAAATTTAAAACTTCCTAGTTATAACAATAACTTAGTTGATTGAGGATTTTAAACATATAGATATTACCAAAACAAGCGACGATATAATTATCTAGATAAATTTGAATTTAATAGCCTCATTTGTAATTCTTCTGAAATCCAAACAAACTGCTCACCTTTACCTCAAGGTTAATCATAACAGAATTTTAACTGAAATATAAGTGTTCCTTTGAACTTAAAGTTACAAAATTTAAAATGAAATCAGAAATTCTATCAAAATAGGACACATTAATCAGACCTAGGGACTACTTTCTTTTTTTATATAGAGGAGATGGATAGATTTTTTGGGTCGTTATGAATGAATGAATAAAATAACTTACTTTGAATCTCAAAAAATTCTTTTTTCATGGTCGTAACCTCTGGGTAGGGTGGTTGATTGGCTCGCGATTTAGAAAGAGCTTGAATTTCTCTCAATTGGTCTCCATCGTATTCATCCGGATCCAAATCAAAATCGGGAAAATATTCTGCCGCTTCGTAATCTTCGTTGTCCATTGACTTTGGTTGAAATTTTTTGAAAATTTCAGAGGATGATTGAGTGGGTGATTTTATGGCCGACCGCGATAGTTTTTTCATGAACATAAAAGATTCCGGGTCTATATTCTCACGAGCTCCTTCAATTAATTTCTTACCAGGATAATACAAATAAGGCGACGTAGCTAAAAATTCTTTGACCTCTTCCATAACTTTGTTAGTTTCCATTTTTTCTTCTTCTTTCCCGATAACTTTTGATGTTCTTGCCATAGGAAGATGTGTGTCGAACGTTGAATGATCTCCTTGGATATTAAGAAGCTTAGTGTATCCTTGGGTTACTTTATCCAGATCATCCTCTGTCGTTTTAGGTGCATGTTCCGCAAAGCCCAGGTAATCATTATATCTGTGAAAAATATTGGACACGTCTTCATCATCTCTAGCACCTGGGAGTTCACTCCCGGGAATATTTTCAGGTTTTCCCAGATAATTTTCGATAGATTTACGCCTATCCAAGAAAGATAGGTCGGAATGGTAAATATGCCTACTAGGAGTTGGTCCATCTAAGGAACTAACCCCAAATGATCCATAGGCTTCCGCTGTCTGGTATTCGGGCAAATTATCTTTCCTTAATTCGAAGTCATTAGGTGTTTTAGAAGGATTCGAGAATTCTAGAAAGGATTGGGAATAATGGGATGTTGAATTTATATCAACATTTGCGGCATGGTAATCACTAGAATGTGGCTCAGTCCATTTTTCAGTATTAACTGCCTCTGTTGATTTGGCGGTAATTTTTACTGAGCTAGATGCAAATATATCACCTGACGTTGAGGCGAGACGTGATTTGTATTCTTCAAGTCCATTAACATTAGTATAAGATTTTATTTTGTTAATGGTAGAAATATCAAAGTTGCCCTCAACTTGGTTCGGTTCAATTCTGTTGATCTCAATTTCCGGGCTAGTATTAGTTTTAAAGTTGTCATCTATATCAAATGGATGCTGACTGTTAGTGGCAAAATGATTAATACTTGTATAAGGGATATCTTCTTGTTCGGTTTCCAAATTTTTTATTATGATAGTAGTTGATAATAGTTTCGAGGAGCTCGTTGGACTCTCGGTCGACTTCTGTGTATTTTTACTGCCAAAGCCGGTTATAGGAATTTCACTTAAGATACCCAGGTTATTTACGCTTTTTATCATCATTTTGTAAAGAAACGAGTAAATTAAAATTACACTGGAAAAAATATTGTGAAAATTGTCAGATAATTCGAGTAATCAGAAAAATATTATAGAAAATATAAAAACAAAACCTATCTCGTCCTTTCGTAGTTATTTGTGTGGCTAGTTTGTGAAGTATAGTTGAGCCTTGTGCAAAGAGAGTCTCTTTATGCTCATCTCTAGTCTGTGTCACCGTAGAATAATCTTCTTCCTTTGTGTCGATCATCGGACTTGTATAACTAATATTTGACTTATTTTCCAAAGGATTCTTCAAACCTTCGGTTCTGTTCAAGCCTGCCGTTACATTACCAATGTCGACTCCCTCAAGGGATGAACGTTCTTGTGGTTGGCTAAATTTAGGGATAGAAACGCGGGATCTAGGCAGGCCGTATTTATAACGATTCTTGAGCAAGGAACGGAATCCGTAAAAATTATCGTCACCCTTTCGTGAAAGGTCTATAGCCAAGCCATAGAGAGATCTGCCCTTGACACCTTTCGCTCCTCGTCTGATTGGTTTTTTCAAGTCACCACCTTCTTTCCTCATATTTTTAATGCTAGCAAGTTCGATTTTCATTTTCTTGTAGTTGTGTTTCATATCCTTCTTCCTCCGTATGAAGCCACCTTTCGAAGAATTTCTAGGATTTCTGGCCCTTGGTTTTAGCCCCCTTTTAATGGCGACATTTAATATATCGTTTTTAATGATATTGTCATTTTGATTATTCTCAGTGAATTTCCAGTCCTTTTTGGATTTTTTCTGTGTTTTCTCGTTGCCACCTTTTTTTGTGTTATGTATGTTATCATCTACTAGGATACGTTCGATATTCCTTGAATGCGCTAATATCTTAGCTGGCAAATCCCTCCTTTTCCGACTATGTGATCCATCTCCACTTTGGATTTCTACGTACATGGTTAAATGGGCTGGCGGTAATGCGTTCGGTGCATCTAAGTTTTCCATTCTTACAAATTGGGTAATTTCTCTTTTCTTCCGTCTTTTCTTAGATATAGAATTACTTATAGACTGGTCTATGTTTCCCGTCCTTGAATTTGTAGGCGGAAGCTCTTCATATTGTTCTACTCCGCCTCGCTTTCTGCTTGCTCTGGGGTTCCTCATTTTAGATGCATTAAATATTAGTTCATCATTCGAGTTTAACTCTTCATCATCCCTATTATTCATTTCTTTTTGGGTGTCTTTCGACATTTTATTCCGGCGATCGGTCAAATTTCTTTTCTTCCGCCTTCTCCTGGATATGCTGTTACTTATGGACTGGTCTATGTTTCCCATCCTAGAATTGGTAGGTGGACGGGGATCTTCGGAATCTTCAACTCCACCTCGTTTTCTGCTTGCTCTGGGAATTCTTAACATCTTAGATTCGCCAAAAGTTATTTCAGGATTTAGATCTAACTCTTCGTTATTATCTCCTTTATTATCGTTATTATTCATTTTGTTGGCGAAGTTCTTCAAGTCTCTCTTGCGCATCTGTAATACATTCAAGTGAAAATCATATGTATAATCAGGTTCAATGTAATCCGAGATTGTTTCCGAAAAAAGCTGATCGGCAGAATATTCTTGATTACTACCGTATTCGTTGTCAGCGGAATCGACCTTTTTTAAAATTTATTTTAAAAAAAAATTAAATCTTCCATATTTTTAGGTTAGTTATGTACCATAATTATTGTTAAATATCCTAAGTTAGATATATACACACATTCTCTAAATATTTATGATTGTAACTTTATAAAAAATTTTCTAATTATTATATTTTGGATAACGACGCAGAGCGTTGGGCATTATTGTTTTAGAATAACAGGTATGGCTTAGAGGCTAGTGACTTTGAAGAGGCATAATACAATACTGGTTCAATTCCATCAAAGTCTTTTTAAGTTCGAGATCGGTTTTGGTTGTAAGACTGGATTCTATATTATTGTGAAATTTGTTTTAGAGAAAATAGCCTTTCAATACCAAATTTGAAAAGAAATTACAAAACTAGAGGACGTGAAGCGGGCTGGCAGATATTATATTTTAGGACAGGACATTTGCTTTTACTCATGGCCTTAAAATAATTATATGCATAATTTTATTTGAATATAGATGTACCTTTACTAATCATACTTTAGGCTTTGATTAATATTTCTTAAACTGAATGTCTGGGCACTATACGTCATTGCATGGGTAATGTAGCAATGTATCTGGGGCTAAATAGTAAATGACTATAACTTTTTAGCCTGTTATAGCTAAATATCTTAAAAGCTGTTATCAAAAATGTATTTTAATGCATTATGTGATTTAGAAGTTGTCACACCTTATATCCTAGATGAAACAAGGGTGTGGGGGTGTTTCTTCGATGGCAAATTATCTTCCCACACTTCCTCACCCACTCTTCGCCAAAAGATGAATATAATTAATTATCATAAACAATAATCTTTTTCTTTTTGAAAATAGGTATAAGTTAAGAATTTTTAAAAATGGTGACAAGAAAAGCTTAGGTAAAATAGAAAAAAAAATTCTGTGCATAGTGTATAATCAGATTTTCAAAATGGAAGAAGGGAATAGAATGGATATAATACACAAAGTGTTCGGAATAGTCCTCAGCAATTTGTGGCAATTTCCCATTATATAAGCTTATATTATTTTTTATTTGTATTTTAATTTAAATTTATACCTATATATAGTTATATTCATTCAAAAAAATTAATATTTTTCATGGTTTCAAATTTATATTTAGCATTTTATATAATGAGCTTTGCCCTCTAATCCAGGTATGAGACTAAATCGCAAAAAATTGATCGCCAATAAATTTTAAATGGCTCCAGAGAACATAGCAGGTTGGAAGCTAAGTATTTTTAGTTTTGTAGGTTAATGCCCATTGCATCATTTAATACAAATAATAAAATCAGTTGAAACAATCAGAATCCTATCAAATGATTCCGGTACGTACGCTCATATTTATTAGTCAATTTAGGCATCGAATAATCTTTCAAATAATTTTAAAAAATCAGGATGAACTTTTTTATAAATCAAAAAATATCAAAGAATTAAAAAAATAAATAGAACTAATATAAATTGTCAAGATACAGATCTCCAAATTAGAAATATTTTAGGTAAAAATTTTTTTTACTCTGATAGCCCTCCCTCTTCCTGGGTAGCCCATGAAAGTCTCTGATATGCAGCGGAACTGTTTAAAAAAAATATTTGGTGACATACATGAATTTGCTTAGATCGTGAAGTCATTTAATCGTAAATTCATCCATTTTTCTGATTGGTCCATTTAATAGCTGTAAATTAAGATTATAGCTTGAATATTCTTATTGATAAATAAATACGATTATACTCCTCGTTTGCCGAAAATAGAGATTATATTCATTATAAAATATCAATTTATGAAATATAATTTTTCTTTTATTAATTTTATTTTTGAATTTATAATTAATAAATAACATTTAAAAATCTAAAAAACAGTGAAGTTCGCGTAAAAAAAAGTGCTCGAGGTAACTACTGAACATATGGTGCACAGTCTATAGGTTATAGACATGGGAATATGCATAATAAGGCAATATATGTAATTATAAAATTGTCTTAAATTTTTAGGGTATGTATTTTGCACAAGTTGGAATACTTTTCCAGAAAAATCAGATTATTAAATTTAAAAACCGCGTTAAATAAATGAGTATTCAAATTATTATAGAAAACATGTATATTTTACTTTTTCATTTTTTTTAAAATTACGATGAAAGATAAAAATACGAAAAACATGTTTACGATATTTATCAAAAATCACTGTTAAGTAATCGCAAGAAAATGTTAAAAAATATTCAAGTGATAAAATAAACATCAAAGGGCAGGCGCGTACGCAGCGGGGGGGGGGACAGGGGGACAAATCCCCCCCCCAAGCCAAAAAATGCAGATGCCGGATATATTTTTCAAAAATATTATTGTATATATTAATTTATATTTGTTAGTATTTATTCGTATCTCATATTAAATATAAATTTTATTACATTTATTATCACATTCATAAGTTATTTTATCAATTAATTTCGATTTCAAGTTTTTCGGCGTAATATTTACTTATTATTTTCAAATTTTTAGTGGCTTAAAATTTATCTACCATTTTCAAATTTCTAGTCAAATAATTATTATTTCTGAAATTTCAAGTCCAACAGGGAAAAAAAAATTGCAACCTTGTCCAACGAGATAGAGCCTCTTCCATCAAGCACTAAAAGCTATTAAGAGTTAGAAGAACCAATTATTACTGAAATATCACAATGGCCTGAAAGAAATATTTCCTCAGAAACAAGAAAATTATTGGATTCAAAGCTTATTTCAACTTTTATTTCTCATTAGAATGTATTATTGAATTATACAACTATTTTAAATATTACTTTTCAAAAACATGACATTGATTTGATTAAGAAGATGAGAATAGCAGAGAGCATTTTATCAGAACTCAAGGAAAGGGCTAATGTTGATGAAGAATTTCATATTTTATTGTTGAGTCTAAAGCAGAGCTATACGTGTTTAATATTTGTCTCCCTCGACTTGTAGCAAGGCAAGCTCATCGTTAAAACATTAATATAGGATCAGTAGAAGAGTATATCTTAAATACAGATACATTTATAACCCAAATAAATGAATTTTTAATTCATCATGCAGCACTTACTAATCTGCAAATATTACTTCCACAAAAGCCTTCCCAACCTTTTTCAGATGGTGATAGAAAAAAAAATGTTTGTTAGATTTTTATCATGAAGATGTTAAAGTATCGATGCCTTACTAGCTGAATAACTATGTTTATAAGATTAACTATGGTTGATATAGTCCCCAAAAATGCTATGGATGCTCTGCATTATTTCAAACACATTTTAGATTAAATTCCCAATGTATTAAAAGGGTTTATAAACTCTTCCCATTAGTAAACTAATGAGAGAACACTCTCTTTTTTAAGAAGAATAACAGAGGCCTGCAGAAGTACCATTTTCAGGGCACGGCCCGGATTTTTTTTAAAGATTTTTTACGACCCGGCCTGGGTTTTTTTTAAAAAATTTTCAGGCCCGGCTCGGCTTTTTTTTTTAATTTTCAGGCTCGGCCCGGCTTTTTTTTAAATAAAATTTTCAGGCCCGGCCGGGATTTTTTTAAAATAAATTATATTTATTTTTGATTTTTATAGCTAATAATAACGATTTCAAATATAGGCTATTTTAAAAAATACAGCCTGGCCCGGGTGTTTTTTTTAAAAAAATCAGTTCCCGCCCGGGTGTTTTTTTGAAAAAATTTCGGGCCCGGCCCGGGTATATTTAAAAATATTAAAATACTGTCCGGCCCAGGGGCCGCCTGCAGGTCTCTGAAAAACATACCAAGAAGTACAACATGTGAAAGTAGATTGAAAGGTTTGGATCTTTTGAATTTTCATAGGCATTTGACGACAAGCAAGGATGAGATAATTGAAAAATTAGTTCAATCCCAACGAAGATTGGATCTTACATTGTAAATATATAACATACAAAATACAATTATTCCTAAGAAACTTTTTGTGTAAAGGCTCAAAAAACTCAAATTTATATTTTGGGTCATTTAAGTGATTCTTTACATATAATTTTTTTATAATTCACATTAATTTAAAATTGTGTATAAGGATTAGTTATTAGTCCTAATAAATTTATGCTTGATATTTTTAAAAAACAATAAAATTTCTTAAAAAAATTTATTATCCCCCCCCCCCCCCCCAGACCAAATTCCTGCGTACGCGCCTGTCAAAGGGTATAAGAATATGAATCTGTAATGTATAAATTACAATAAGATTATATTAAAAAAAAATATTAGATAACAAATATAAAGATCCCAACAAATACCTTATAATAAAATTTATTTTCTCATAAATAATTTTGTTAGTTATAAATATAAAATTCTATCCGCTAGATGACGTCTTTAAAATATTTTATATTTTTATCATTTAATAAATAATTTTTTTTTGAATTAATCAAATTTGCCTTATTTTTCCAAGTTAAACTAAAGCATTTAGGAGTTTTATAAACTTAGTTTACCTTTCTTTTTAATAAATTGGGGATTAAGATAATCAATCTTTACGTTTGCACGCCATGAATTTATAACATTATCTTCTATATTCTGTTTAAAAAATTAGTAGTCGTTTTTAAATTTTGCAATTTTTATTGTTTATTACTACTTCTAATATATTAGACAAACAATATCATAGTAATTTCCATATTATTATGAAGATAATTTGGTTGGCTAGTTATAAATTTTCGTATATTAGAGACAAAGTGAATAAAAAATTGTTCCTTAATTAATGGATCCAGGCATGAATTATTAAAAGTTATCTCTTCTAACAATCTTTAGCTCCAACTTACCAACATTGGGCTTCCTATGCTATTGGAATCCACCTTAATTACACGATAACCTTTTCTTACATTTGCTCTGTCTGCAGAACTTCTATAGACAGCAAAAGAAGACGCAGTTTACACTCCAGATCGTGTATAGGTCAAATCGTCAGACATAACAAATACAATTTCTTGATCCAACGAGCTTTAAAATCCGCCCAAATACCTGCAAACCTAAACCACAAGGACAAATTAGATCAGATGAAAGCG